CCTACTCAAGATCCTTCGAGTGATACTCTACTTACTAATTCTCTTCATCAAAATATTAGGGAATGGTTAGCACTGAATAAACAAGAGAAATTGCCATTGTTCCTATTTATTGGTTCAAAAATATGGAACATGAGGAATGATCTGCTTTTTAAAAATAAAAGATGGTTTATCCCTTCGCTCAAGAGCATTAATTGATATTAAGCTCTGGAAAGAGGCCATATGTTGAGGAGATACAATGAATAATAGTCCACCAACCATACAATCACATATACAACCCAAAAGCAGCATTCACATAAGAGGCAGCGAGAAAAGCCAATCCACTAATCATCATCTTTGTTTTGTAGACGGCTCATGGGTCAATGATAAAGAAAGAGCAGGTTTTGGATGGATTCTTCGGAGTAATGATGGTCACCCTATATTACAAGGCTCAGCTTCTATTGATCCAATAGTTAGTCGTCCTCAAGAAACTGAAGCCTTGGCTCTAAAAGAAGTTGTACTGCAACTAAAAAAGTTAGGCTTCATGAAAGTTCATTTCTTGGGTGATTGTAAGTTACTCTACTCTCAACTCCATAAGTTACAAAAGACCCAAGTTCATGCAAAAAGCTGTTCAAATGAGTTAAGTGCATATATAGGTGATATTCTCTCTTTCGTAAGAGCTGGCTCTTACTATGAATTTCAGGAAATTCCAAGAGAGCAAAATACAACAGCGGATGCCTTAGCAAAAAAGCAAGACAGAGATCTAGTTCCTATGTTATAAAGTGGTTATAGATGTTTGTTATGTATGGGCCAAAACTCTACATATTGTATTTGACAAGTGCTGTAATATTCTAGTTTCTTAATAAATTTAGTATGCCGGAAAAAAAGTATGTATTTATAACTAGAATAGCTCTAGTGTATACCTCAGTTTAAAATGGCGAGAGGCGCTTGGAGGCGACATTGACAGTGACAAGTGCATATAGGCTAGGCGCGCTAAGGCGCTCACCTTATAAAAACAATTAAGAAATTTATAAAATGGATATTGGAGCATGAAAGTTTGATGGGTAGAGTATTGTCATGAACATACTAACCATGGGTACATACTAAGAAGACAGTTCATGGATATTGACAGTGACAAGTGCATGTAGGCTAGGCGCGCGAAGGCGCTCACCTTATAGAAACAATTAAGAAATTTGTAAAATGGATATTGGAGCATGAAAGTTTGATGGGTAGAGTATGTCATGAACATACTAACCATGGGTACATACTAAGAAGACAGTTCATGGATATTACAAATCCTGAATTTGTCGTTGCTCTAGTAAGATGGATAAACTCTTCCTGAAGCTTGGCTAACATGTTTCCATGTTTATTCATCATCTTCAAATACCATATCATTGCCTTCATCATTTAAAATTTTCATTCCATTCTCCCCATTAAACACTCACTACTTTCATCTATATCATCCAAGAGAATATGATCAACTCTTCTTATATCGACGTTGCAAAGCACAATTATATTTCACATAAACCATGTCATTCAACCGATTTATTTTCTTGGTATGTAGCTGTTCAAATTAAAAAGTATAAGTTAGATAATCTATTTTTTTGTGGAAGTAATGAATGCAATTCAAAACACTTACGAGTTGAAAATCACCCTAAATATCTTCACATCGGGTATCATTACAAGTGAGACTAAGAACAACTTCAATGACAAAGTTATTCAACTCTAACGTATCAAATCCATAACAAGACCATCATTCAGCTATAAAATGAAAAAAACAAATATTGTTACATTCGGAATCCTATCCAAAATAATTAATAATATAATATTGTTGGTGATGAGACAGGAGCTATGATTAAGAATCATACTTGGGATGAATCGGATATACCTAAGGGAAAGAAGGTTGTGAGCTCCAAATGGGTTTTCACGCTCAAGTATCTAAGTAGTGGTGAAATTGAAAGGCACAAGGCCAGGTTAGTGGCACGAGGCTTCACTCAGACCTACTGAGAGGATTACTGCGACACATTCGCACCAGTTACCAAACTACACACAGTTAGAGTTGTGCTATCATTGGTGGCTAATCTAGAGTCGAAACTATGGCAAATGGATGTCAAGAACGCCTTCCTCCAAGGAGAGCTCGATGAGGAAGTCTACATGACTTCACCACAGTGTCTTGAGCATATTGTCAAGTCGGGAAAGTTTCTCAAGCTTCGGAAACCGATTTCCGGCTTGAAGCAATCACCGAGAGTGTGGTATCGAAAGTTGAGCATCACTCTTCTTGACCGAGGCTTCAAAAGATCAGAAGCCGATCACACTCTCTTCACCCTACAACGTAAGGAAGTTATTGTAGTCATTCTCATTTACGTGGATGATATGATCATCTCTGGGAATGAAAAGGTAGGGATTCAAGAGACTAAATCATATTTGCAATCTGTTTTTGAGATAAAAGATTTGGGTACACTAAAGTACTTCCTTGGGATTGAGGTTTGTAGAGCAAGAAAAGGTCTCTTTATATCCCAAAGGAAGTACATACTTGATCTCTTGAATGAAGTATGCAAGAAGAATGCTAAACCGGCTAAGACACCATTGGAGGATTCATACAAAACGCATCAAGGAGAGATCGGAGACAATGAGCTGTTCCACGATCCCAAACTTTATCGCCAAATAGTGGGTAAGCTCATCTACCTTACTCTTACTGGGCCTGACATCTGCTTTGATGTGAATCAGATTAGCCACCACATACAAGTTCCAAAGAAGTACCATTGGGAGATGGTGGATCGGATTCTGAGATATCTCAAAGGAACATCCGGCCAAGGCATATGGATGAGATGCAATGGGAGCTCCGACATCGTTCATTACTGTGATGCGGATTGGGCCAGTGACCGTGAAGATAGGAGGTCCACAACCGACTATTGCACCTTCATTGGAGGCAACTTGGTGACATGGAAGAGCAAGAAACAAAAGGTGGCGGCCTGCTCAAGCGCTGAGGCCGAATACCGAGCTATGAGAACACTGACCAATGAATTAATGTTGCTGAAGATGCTGCTGTTGGACTTGGGAAGAGAGACTCCTACTCTTCGAATACTTTTAGATACAATAGACCATTGGCTCTTTTGAACACTTTTCGAAACGTAACTCCTTAAGCATCTGATTTAACTTGATGTCCCATGCTCTTGGTGCTTACTTAAGACCATACAGAGCCTTATGGAGTTTACACACCTTTGTTTCATGCCCTTTCTCTTCGAAACCTTCTGGTTAAGTGATATAGACAACTTCTTTTAGTTCTCCATGAAGAAAAGCAGTTTTTACATCAAGATGATGTATCTCCCATCCACTTGCTGCTGCTAAACTAATGAGCAGATGAATTGTCTCTAGTCGAGCTACCGGAGCAAATACTTCATCATAGTTCACCCCATACCGTTGTGCATATCCCTTTGCGACAAGACGAGCCATATGCTTGTTAATGCTTCCGTCAGAGTTGAGTTTGAGCTTAAACACCCAGTTTAAGCCAGTTGGTTTAGCTCCAACAGGAAGCTCCACAAGAGTCCACGTATGATTCTTCATAATACTCGCGATTTCATCTTCACATGCTAGTATCCACTCTCTTGATTCCTTAGCTTCAAAGAAGTTCTTGGCTCATCATTCAAACACAACAAAAGCCTTTCTCCTTCTTGCTCTCCAAGTAGAATGTAGTCATCAAGATATTTCGGCCTTATTTTCTCTTTCGTAGATTTTCTCAGCTCTTCTGTATGGTCTACATTGATATTCTCTATCATTCTCTGTTTCATTGTCCTCCTGTGTATCATGATCACTGTTGTCTTCATTATTTTATTCAAGAACCTCTGTTTGTTCTTGCGTTCCATCATCACCAAAATCACCAAAAACGAGCACAGAATCGTGGTCTTCCTTCTTTGCTTATGTACTCTTCCAGTTCCATCCCTTTGATTCATCAAAGACCACATCTCGACTCACCACTATCTTCTTTGTTTTTGGATCAAGTAAGCGATATGCTTTTGATCCTGGTTTTGTCCCAAAATGAACAAGCATTCTTGTTCTGTCATCAATTTTCTTCAAGTGTGGTTTGTCTACCTTTGCATATGCAGTACAGCCAAATATTCAAATGTGCTCAATACTCGGCCGCTTTTCCCTAAAACATTCATACAGAGTCTTTTCCTTAAGCGATTTTGTTGCTACACGATTCAACAAGTATGTAGAATGTCTAATGGCTTCCCCCCATTAATAATTAGACATGCGCATATGCTTCAAGATACTCCTCGCCATCTCTAATAACGTTATGTTTCTTCTCTCTACAACTCCGTTTTGTTGAGGTGTATACAGAGCGGTGAGATGTCTTTTGATTCCCGAGTCTTGGCAGAAAAAAAATGAACTCAAGAGATACAAATTCTCCTCCTCTATATGTCCTGAAAGTTTGTATCCTTGATTCCAATTCCTTCTCAACCATGGCTTTGAAGCTGTTAAACTTCTTAAAAGCTTCTCTTTTCTCTTTCATCAAAATCGTCCACATGTAGCGAGAGTAATCATCGATTAGCACAAAGATGTGCCTATTTCCTGCACTTGTACTCGGGTTTATGGGACCGCAGAGATCTCCATGAATGAGCTCAAACTTCTTTGTTGCTCGATAGACAGTTGCTTGTGGAAAACTCAATCTTTTTTGCTTTCCAAGAAAGCACAAACTACAAATCTTTTTCTTAAGACTCTTCTTAGGTGCTCCTTGGACAAGTTCCTTCTTTATCATCGAGTTCAGTGTTTCAAAGTTTACATGCCCCATTCTTGCATGTCACTTACTTGAAACACTTGTAGCTGAGAGATGTAAGTAATCATTCTCTTGTAATCCCATTCAAACTTTGTAAAGCCGATTCTTAGACCTTTCTGCTTTCACGAGTAACTTTCCATCGATAGCCTCCCTTGAGTCTTATGTCACACCCCAACTTTGTGGCTTGCCCTAAGCTGATGATGTTCCTCTTCAGATCCGGTATAAAGTAGACTTCACTCATTACTCTTGGTCATCTATTCAGATCTGTGAAAGCAATCGTACCCTTCCCTTTGATATCAATACATGAATCATCTCCGAATCTCACTTTTCCGATGATAGATGAATCAAGCTTATAAAAGTATCTTCTATCTCCAGTCATGTGATTGCTAGTACCATTGTCAAGGTACCAAACCATCTCTCCATTGATGTTGGTTTTGAACTTGTTTGGTACACAATGCTTTTCGTTTAGGTAGACCACTTCATGCGTAATGAGCTTGTCTACGTCTTCTGTATCGTTTTCATTTGTTTCATGTGTTTCTTGTAGCTTGAGCAAGCGATCAGGGCATTGTGATGCAAAGTGCCCCAATTTATCACACCAGAAGCACGTGATTTTTGATATATCTCTTCCTCCATTAGGTCCACGACCTCTTCCTCTCATGA